GGAGGCCTTGGGGATGCCCTGGGCACTCCCCACTGCTCACCTCCTCCCCAGCCCTAGAAGCACCCCAAAAATCAGAGGACAGTGAAGGTCCAGATCCAGATCGGTCGCCCCGGTAGCCAAGTGGCCCCTTGGACCACTGATGCTGCCCCGTGAAGGCTCAGGGTGCCACAAACACCCGTTTCGCAAAGGGTCGACGACAAACAAGTACCTTGACGATGGCAACCACAGGAGTCTTGACCCTCCCAAGCAGGGCTGGGTGGGCTGGATGAAGCACAGGGACGACAGTGCCGTCCTCAGTATGACTGGGAGACCATCCAGCGCTCCCAGAACAGGAGCTGGGGGCTCGGCACAGGCAGGATGGGGCAGCAGGTGCAAGAGCTGCTGCCCTTGCATCATCATTTCCTTTGTCACCTGCAGCTTCCCCAAAATCCACCACCAAAAGACTCCCTTGAGCAGTCCCCAAGGAGCTGAGCCAGCCCCATCCCCATCCCCGAGTCTCTCCACTACATCCCCTCCAGGAGCCCATCCCCAGGTGCAGCTGGTGTCCCCGGCAGGCCAACACCTTGCTGGTCATCAAAGCAAGCCCAGACCCCTGCACAACCAGGAGCGGAGAAGTCTCGGTCAGTGAGGCATCACCTGTGTCCCCGTTCCTGGCAGCAGCAGCCCCAAAGCACCAGTGGAGCCAACACGGGCTCTCCCCACTGACCATCAACATCAAACTGTGGCCCAGGGTCAGCCTCTGATGCCGTCAGTAGCTGTAAAGGCAAAATCTTGCTCTGGTCACGTTAAAAAAATTCAAATACTAACCAAAGCTCTCCCCTGAATCTCAAGTACGGTGCTTTGCAGGTGTTGAGATCAGAAACACGGTCATGTAAATTTGGTTTGTTGTTATTTTAAAGTGGGGACTCCCCTGTACGCAAGGCAAAATTATACAACCAGTAATATTAAAACAGATATCTCCAGGCTGGATTCTGGATTCTGCAGCTGGATTCTGCCCTGGTAGGAGCCAGATTGCTGCTTCTTATGCAGAACCACCACAAACTTTGTCACAAAAGCTACTTTCTTAGTTACAATTGTTTGTACTGAATTTAAAACCACTCTACAGACAGCGCGTTACTGGAAACCACTTGAATTCACGTGTTTCTTCCTGTTTCCTCATCCCTCATCTTGTGATGCGAGAAATGAAACGGAGCTTGTAGATCTCACTGCTGGCAAAGGGTTATTCACAGCGAGACGCAACGTGTAACGCAGTATGATACACTGCTTAGTGTTCCCACCAACTGTCCCGCAGTTCCTAGGTGTCAAGAAGCAGAATTTTAGAAGACAATTCTTGGAGGAGTAATGACCCATCTGCTAAACAGGGTGAGTTTATGGAGTTCATGAGCTGATTCATGTTCTGGGAAGCCAGGCTGGCATCTGAATGCAGGACTGCATTTTTGAGACAGATGGAGAACTTCCACTGGCCTCCAGACCGAGGTGGGAGCAGTGGTCTTCAGCAACGCACCGCTGCTCTGGAGCGAGAGGAGCAGGTACAGGACTTCACGTGACAGATTTCAATTGAGGTTGTTGAAGATGAAGCGCTGGAGGTTTGGAGTTTCTTAGGCAAATGGACTATTCTCTTTTCTATAGCGTTCCACCCAGAACTAGTACCAAAACCTAGAAATTAAGAGCTGAAGAAAGGAATGACACCTTAATTTTGTTCAGAATGCAATTTTTGATTTTTTGGTTGTTTAAATTTAAGCTTAATTCAATGCAGAGCCAAGGGAGGCCTCGCTCACGTCACAGATGGCAAATCACTGTGTGTGAGCAGTACTATGTGCTCTAACAGCTGTTGCAAAACCACAAAAATGAGTCTGCTCTCTTCCCCAGCTGTCTGTCCCTGATGGGGCAGATACGAAAAGAAACGAAAGGGAAAGGGTTCAAGTTTTGTATGTGGAAAACTTCAAATCCCAAGGGAAAAAACACCAGCCAGCAACTGCACGGCCAAGGTGTTGGACCTCACCTGACTTCTAGCGGTTGCTGGCGTGAGAAAACCCAGGGTGCCATACCCAGGAACACCAGGTTCCACTGGGGACACTCTGCACATCCAAAATTCCTGTTTTGGACAAAAAAAAAAAAACAGCCCAAAGCACAGGCTTTTAAAGTTACTTTTAAAATTCACTAAAACGTGGGGAATACATCTGCTACTTCATCACCACAAAGGTTCTCTGCTGGAACAAAAAATATTCAGAGCTCTAGTAAGTGGTTGCAATTTTATTTATTTACTTGTTTATTTGTACAGCCAAAGCTTTTTAGGGCATTATCACTCGATAACGGAAGAGTGACACACCTCAAGTATTACTAGTTTGGAAATGAATGTGACTTTCAACACAGTCAACATCTACCTGTAAGGACTATATATAGAGAAAGATAGATTATTTTTTAATATAAAATTGATATTTGGAAAGTATAAATATGAGTGCAATTATTTTGTCTGTCTAATTTCTCTCTGCTGGATATAATTCAAAATGTCTGAGACCAAAAAGAGACTTTAGCGTTGAACACCAATGCAGCCATCAGCATTTCTGGAAGCCCAGCCAGCGGGATGGACACAGCGGACACCACTGCCCTGACTCCCGAGTCACACAAGGACTCCAGTCTTTCCAGTAAAACCACTACATCAGTCGTCTTTTTTTTTTTTCAGCTCCTGCATGGGAAGTTGCAGGATGTCCACACTCTGCTGTTACACACCAGACAAGGCAGTAGCCTGGAATTGTTTATTTTCAAAATTCTTTCACTGTGATGCCTCGCCCTCGTTTTGAGTGAGCGCTAACGACTCCATCAGCAATATGCAGCCTTGCTGGGCAGGCAGCCGTGCAAAAAGTGCCTCCCAAAGAGCGCTGAGAGTGAAGAAGCGATGGACTGTCCTTCCGCTTTTTCAAAAGGGGAAGTCAAGAGCCAGCTGAAAACCCGGGGAAAGTTGCATTAAGTCATTTCCCCATTCTGAACATTTATAGCAGCAATCACGACACTGGCCATCGTCCTGATAACAACCTCTTTATGGAAGCACATTAACTGAGCACGTCTATTAAAATAGTCAGCACTGAAATACGGCAGTGGTTGTAATTTGGGACAGTACCCACATGGCTGAGAGTTAACAGGTAAGTAAAGTCAAAGGGCTCGCTCCCTTGGGACTGAGATGGGGCTGTTTTCCAAGGCAGGAAGGCTGCACGGCATCGGCTACCACCAGTTCCCATCTGGAGAGCTGGAAGGTACAACTGGCATGAGCGTTCTCAAAATGACTCAGCGTGGAGCTAACCCTGCTCCTGCTGGAGCCAACAGCGCGAGGTCCAAATATACAGGTGGGAGCACTTGGACCTGCACAGAGTAACTGTGCAAACGCAAGCACATGTCCTACACCTCTCCCTCGCCTCCAGAACGACAGAGCATGTGCTGCTCTGAATTCATCTGCTGAATTTCAAGTTGCTCCCAAGGAACAGACACTGTATCCAAGTGAATTGGACACAGCCCCAAATTGTGCAGCCGTTGCTCAGACAACATTTCCGTGACCTTGGATGGACAAGTGAGACGGCTTTGTATCCCTCCACTTCCCACCACAAAGCAGAAGCTTTTCTTTAACTTATTTTCTCCTGCCATGTTCAGTTTTAGAACATATATTTCCAAAGCAGACATCACCAATTTATGGTGAATACCATGTCTTCTTCTTTCTGAAGCGAGACAGGTTACAGCTCCAGTACACTAAACAAACACATCTCATTTTATATCAATCAAATCACTGAAGTATCAAACACAACAAAATGAGGAAAGTATTTGGAGTATGACCAAAAACCCCAAAATGGGCAAAAGTAGTACAGAGCTGTGACAGCCTAAAATTGCCATTTTCTCTGAATGAAGCACATAGACCCACAACTGTGTGGGTCAGCCTGGTACGTTTGGTGACGTGACGCATTGCTAGCCCTGTTCTCTACCTCCACAAAAATGTCATTTTTAGGAATAAGTGAAGTTAGGTGCAGCCCCTCGGTGTCCAGAGGGGGGGAGGCAGCGACATTGTTGCTGGCTGGGGGACGAAGTGCCACCACCTCCCCCTCCCTTGGCACTGGGGGACTCACGGGTGAGGATGGCAGCCCTCTGGCAGGGCCGGGGGTGGCAGTGGCGCAGAGGAGAGGGATGCAGAGGTGGCACTAGGTAGCCCCGCTGTTGCACCCCTCGTGGAGGGAGTGGCACGTCTGACCCCGTCTCAGCAGCTCCAGCAGCATCGGGAAGGAGATGATATGCTGTGGGAAAAGAGGGGACAGCATCAGCCCTGGGAACCCCTTACTTTGAGGGGGAGACCCCAGTCTGCCATCTCCCCGCCTCGAAGCTTGACTGGTGAGAGCAGGGCATGCCCTGCAGCCGGACACCCGGGGGGCAGCATGTTCCCATCGGAGCTCCATCCGGGAAGCTGTGTCAGTTGTGGTGGGTGCAGAGCTTAGAGAGACCGTGGATACCATCGCTCCCTGGTTGAGCTGGCAGAGCTTCAGCGCCCTTCCTGCGCGCCCTTCCGCACAGACTGCCACACCGCTCCCTGGGCAGCTAACACAGGGACAGAACCGGCCCCAACACCCGTGATTTCATCGGCATGGCACAGCACAGCGATAGCCCTGATCAGCGGAATGACACCTTGGATCCCAGTCCACCGCTTCAAGATAGCAACCGTACTGGGAAACAGCACGTACGGCGACAGGGTGCTCAGTAATACAACTCTGGAAACAACTCTGAGAGCACATGGAACGACATTCCGGGCAGCG